AAAATAACCGTTCTGTCTTTTGGTGACGGAGTTCAGCGACTTCAACTCGAAAGACTTGTGTTCAATGGCAATTGCAAGTTGGACATGTTCATATATTACGGTTGTTACTAGGTAGTCCATCATGGAGTTAATCATCTACCTGCTGATGTCAAGATCTCACCTCGCAATACGTCATCCGAACGGCTCTGCTGCTCACTTGTGTGACCAGATCGATCACTACCCTCCTACCCACCAGGATGACTGCATACTCATGCCTATGCTGATCGACATTCGGCAACTGCTATTAGGGCAAGCAACCCCGACTAGTCCCTGCGTTCAATGCAGTGCAAACCCTTGGCCTTCTACGATGCTCCTACCTGAGTGTTCCAATGACTTCTCAGTTTCAAAAGTTCCTGATTCTACTACTCGTTCGTGACTGGTGAAGCACTCGCGCAAAAATACCCAGGAGTTAGGGAGATTCTCAATACCGTATGAGATGGCCCTGAAGTGACTAATGTTACATTCACTCTTCTCGACATCAGTGCGAAATTTGCGTACCAATGATCTCGTTACGAATTTTGTTTGCCTTGCATTGCTTCGAGGCGTCCTTCGGACTCTAGCTGCTTCTGGTTCACGGTCAATTGGTCCCCTTTCTCGTCGGTTCGTTGGGAACCTTTAGTCCAACACGGGTATTGTTCAACCACGACCCCGTCATCCACAAGCCTAAGTCTCTCAGTGTCTCTCCGACACTCTGGATATCACCAGACAAGATCGCGCTCCGTCAGCTGGGCACACCGCCTTCCCTTCAAGTGTGATGCCGTTTTCTCTCGATGGTTGCTATAAGCGCGTAGGGGTTGCCCTATGTCCAAAAAAGAAATACGAATAACTCAGCAGTGGAGTCTGCGGTGGCTGACTGGAAAGGTCACGTAGCTACTCTTTGCAATCCGTTTGGCGTTGTAAAACAGTGTTCTACGAACACGGACCTCACAAGAGGGTCCGCTCGCAGAGACCCCGCGTTCCCTACATCATGTTATGGTCAAGGGCAAAAGGAGCTTCTTAATTTCATCCCATTTCCACCACTTCCGGGAGCAATCACCGAAGAGGATGACAACACTCACTGAGTGTCACACGAACTCTGATAGACTCACTCAAATGAGGACGGCTCTTAACGAGCCATCGACTAGGACTGAGATATTGAACTCTCATCGAGAACATATTGCATTGACATCAAAATATGATCAAGTATTCAGATTAGGCTCTCGCGTTCCAGATATCGCATCACTAGAGAACTCAAAACAACGGCAATAACTGAGGCAACTGAGCATCTATATATCTACGAATAGTTTACATTTCGTCGTGAACATAAACCTGAAAAAAAAGAGCAGATAAACGACCGCTAGGCCGTATGCAACAACAAGCCGCATAAAGATCGAGCCGACTGCAAAGGGATGAGAATGTTGTATTATTAGACTCAAATTCGAATGTAAAAAGCGAAGGACTTACAGTAGGCTGAAAGAAGGCTTGTAAAGCAGTAACGACGCTGAACGAATCACCATCACTCGCCAACTGTCCCTCAGCAGCCTCATGGACAGAATGAACCTGACCTCTTTTGAATCTTACTAGATAAGACCTAAGATATTCTCACCAGCGCCACGCCGAGCCAAGCTGCTATCACAACAGGTCCGATCGTTTTCAGGAAATGCAGCGGCCCTGTCGAGTGACCCGTCGTTAGAAGTTTCCAAGTTGTAGAAAAAAGTTGCTCCCCCAAGATGAAAACGGCGAAGGTCGTAAAGCTTCCCGCAGCCAACGCGGCTGTCGCCTAAAATGGAGTGAACAGATACGGCAACAATGGAGTTTCACGAGCAGCCGTGAAATGAGAAAACATATTTCAGGACTACTGCATATCACCGCGAACAGAATCGCGTTTTTCACCGAGTTTTACGCCACTTCGCGTAAAACGGGTCGTGAAACTCCAATGCGCAGTAGATTAACACAACATTCCAGAGAGATGGAATATACTCGTCTATACTTCAACAATGGAGTTTCGACTGTTTTACGTGAAGTGGCGATATTCGCGGTGATATGCAGTAGTCGTGAAACATGTTTTTCAATATTGTTTTTCACATCACCAGGGTGAAACTCCAATGTACTTCGCATTTCAAATACCACATCGGAGAATGCAATACTTCAACGCCGATATGTCCATGCGTGCATATTTCCAATTTTTTGATATTCGCAGTTATCGGATAGTTGAATATTTCCACATTTTCTAGACTTTGCCACAGTCACACAGAGAATACTGATTTTTTCACAATAATTACTCACGTAAAATATGTAAAATTTTCACTTAAGAACTGCAAATTGCAGTCTGCAGCTACGTTCAAAATTCAACCTGTAATGAAATATTTCCTATGAAAACTCCTAATTTTATCCCACCTTACCGCGTAAGCTTTACGAGCCAACGCAGTTTGCAAGAAGAACGCCATCACTACGCCCAAAGGGCAAGTTAGCGATACCAGGAAATTCAACCTAAGAAGAAAAACGAATCACGAGTTCACCAAGTATGGAAACGAGTCATGTTTTTCTTTCCAGTAAGGAAAAAATGCAGTTTCACCACCCTAGTGATATGAAAAACACTAGTGAAAAATGTATTTCACGACTACTGATGCATATCACCGCGAATAAAATCACGTTTTTCACGGAGTATTACGCAACTTCACGTAAAACGGGTAATCATGAAACTCCAATGTCCCCTGTAATCGATGCACCGCACCCTTGCAAGCTCTCGCAACGCTCATAATCGTCAGTGGCCGCTTTATTGTACAGTGCTCCAATGATTTTGAAATACCACGTTTTCCGCGAACTTCTCCAAGATTAGTTTCAGCACCCATTTTCAATTCTCAGAGTTAGCCCAGAACTGCGGACTTACACTCACAGGTTACAGCTAGAAGGCATTCACCACTACTCAAACTAGTCTTCGATAAATCTGCGATATTTGAAAACTATTTGAGGTATTGGTAGTATTCTAGATACGATGGTAGTTTCATAATAGGTGTGCGGTGACTGTATGAAGAAGTTTCACTAGTTTTACGTGAAGTGGTGAAAAACACGATTTTATTCGCGGTGATACGCAGTAGTCGTGAAATATGTTTTTCACTATTGTTTTTCATACCACTAGGGTGGTGAAACTCCAACGAGTATCATAATACTTAGTATCCATAATGCGTATAAGTGAGTTTCCATAACTTTACATTCTCGCTTACCAGAGCAATCTGCGCGGTTGTAGACCAGCAGCTAAGAGTAGTAGTCCATCAGAAAGCTCCTGAGGAATTTCGTGAGCTGCAACTGCGATGGTCACCGTCCGACCACTTGCGATGTCTACGAAGTGTGGTATGAAATTATATATTTTTATTCATCTTACTTGAACTAAGGTACGCCATCCCAAGAGAAAGACCATCAACGAAGTTATGAACAAGTTCGATCTGAAATAAAACGAAGATCTTTTCGTAACAGCATGCTGGGTGTCCCAGAAAAATACGAAAAATCTCAGATGTGACAGTGTTACTGCTTCTACCCATTGTGCGCGATTGCACGTGTGTGCATAGCAAATCACCTATTCCCCCGAAAAGGACAAGCAACAGACAGACAGTCGTGAATCACTCAAGTTTTCGGTCTGATGAAAGCGTTCTCTCCGGTGAGTTTCTCCCAAATCACGTCACCATATGATCTTATATAGCTTACATTTGAGCAACAATACTCTTGATAGCCGTAAATTTCAATATTCCTAAAGTATATATTGGAGTTTCACGACCAGCCTAGTGATATGAAAAACATATTTCACGACTACTGATGCATATCACTGCGAATAGAATCGCCTTTTACCGGGTTTTACGCCACTTCACGTAAAATGGGGCGTGAAACTCCACTGAATAGTTATACATCGAAATTTAAACCCGCGGCATGGAAACACAAAAGTGTGGAAAATACGTAAAGGGTCAACTACATGTATTAGTGACAATATGGAAATTTTTGGGAGGAAATTTTGAGAAATTATTGTTGGTTTCTGTACATTTCTGCCCGAATTCGTATATAAACTCCTGCATAGTTAGTGAGGAAACTTGTGAGCTGAGCTGAGGAAAGCAAACATATATTCCTCCAGCACTTTGCTCCTTAGTGCGTTATCGATACGGTCCAATACCGGACCCTTCTAAATTCGCCCGAACAGCTACGACAATTACGAAAATCACTCTCATTTTTCGAGAAAAAAAATTCCCCTTCCCCTTACACGCGAAATTTTGTTAAAATTACCATTTCACGTAATGTAGGTAAATTTCCAAACGAAAATATGCGACCAACGAATTCGATGATAACATTTATAGATTTCGTATCGCTTCAGAGATTCCATGTACAAATTCTGATTTTCTACAGAAAACTGCACAAAATTTGCGATTTTTTTGCAAAAATTACGGAAAATTTTGCAATGCAAAGCCATGAACTTACGAGTAAGTTGGCGATGCCGAAATTTTTGATTTCATCTCTTTTTCTTCCGGTGTGATTTTTGTGCTGTTTTTCGTGAAGTAAATCAACACCTTTATTGATCCCAAAAGTAAGCGCCACGCCGAGTGCGAAATAAACCAAGCCTGAGTGGAAAAATTGTGGTCGTGAAAGTTGCATAAACTTTTTACTGTTTCCTCCAGCGTTCATAACCTGTGGAACGAGATGACCAAAACTATCACAAGTCATCACCGCACAAGCGAACGCCAGGAAAAAACCTGAAAATTTACGATGAAAAAATTTCGGAATTTTTTCTCTCACTTTCCAAAATTTTCGGCGCAGTTTCCCCACTTTTCAGCAAATACACCAGAAAAAGTGAAGTGCCCGCAGAGACGATTGAACAAACCTAAACGTTTATACAGAGGGAAATGATGAACGATTTTACGCTCATAAAAACGCCCGATAGCAAGGCCTCTGGAACGCTTCTGAGTGGATGAAATCGAAGGACATATTGCAAACCGCTGAGACGAATACATCTCTGATATGCACGCATGCGCATCACTAAT